CTGGAGACTATGGCAGTTGTCCCTAGCATGCTAGGAGGAATATTGTTGTACTTAACCATCTCCAACCCCTAGGCTTTACTTAAAATTTTTAGCTTAGAAACAGCTTTTCTGCTGCAACCCTTTTGGTCTAAATTTTTTAGCTTGAGATTATTAAAGAATAAATTTAGGCTAATTTTTTCTTTTAAAGTAATTTAAAAAAAATTATGTACACTATCATAATTTAATTTTATGAACATTTTAACCTAAAAATATTTAAATTCCGATAAATATTGAAAAATCACTAAATTTGGGTGAATTTTGAGTTAAATAATTTTTTTAATTATTTTAGCTGTCGGATTTACATTTGGGCCTTTAGATCTTTGTTTTACCATTAGATTTGATTATATTTGATCTTAGCTGTTGGATTCAATAAATCCTGAGAGACATGCATATGTGGGTGAGGTCCAGCTGGTGGTGCCCACACCATTTTCTGGGCTAAATCCTAGGGGAAATTTGGTTTTTGTTTGGCTTTTAACTTTTAGCCCACACATTTAGCATGTGTTAGGTTGGGTTTGGAGAAGGGAATAAAACATAAAAAATAGCATTTAGCCCAAGGTTAGGCTTGGTCTAAGGTCTCTGCTCAAGTTTTAGCAGAGCGGTGGTTGTAAAACCTGCGTGGTATGAGGGAATGCTGGTTTTGCTGTATACAACTTGAGAAACTACATGCTACCTGTAAATTGTTTGATTGCCATTACACAATTCATAGTCTAGTGCATGTGATGGAAGTATCTCATGTTCATTTGAAGAACTTTTCAAGACAATAACAATATCTTTTTCTTGGGTAAAAAGTGCAGGTGACAAATATGGAGACAATTTCTCCTCCTTGGGACTTTGTGGACACTCTTGTGATTATGCTTCTTACTGTGGAGGATGTAAAACACAAAATTTGATTTACGAGGCGCAAGTTCAACAGTTGATTATTAACTTTGGAAAGTTTTCTCACACAAAACTGGAATCTCTAAGCATCATGAAGCCCATCAGAAAACATGCTTTTGCCGTAATGCTTTCCTCTTGTTTTTATCACATTAGAAAACAGTTACTTAATTTAGCTAACACAACCTACTTGCTATTTGTCATTTGACACCTTCAAGAATCAAAGTATCAAAGTACTCTATTCTGGTGTAAGGTATACATTTATGCATATTCTTAACTTTACCTAGAAATTCACTATAAAATAAATTTCTAAGAATTTGTAAATCATGTGTACTTTGTAATTATTTTATTTTATTTTATCAATGTGTATTAATTTTTTATTTTGCAAAAAAAAAAGAAAAAGAAGAAGTAGTTTTTGACAATTTTTGGTTTCATAAATAGTGTCTCCTTATTAGCTCAGTTTTATAAATAGTGCCTATTTCTTGTTTCATTTTCATAAATAGTGCCCTAGTTCTTGGTCCAGTTTCATAAATAGTACCTAGTTCTTGGTCCACTTTCATAAATAGTGGCCTTGTTGTTGGTCCAGTTTCATAAACAGTGCCTAGTTCTTGGTCCAGTTTCATAAACATTGCATAGCAATAGGTACAATTTTATAAATAGTGTCTCTTTCTTGGTCTAGTTTCATAAATAGTGTTTCTTTCTTGGTTTAGTTTCATAAATAGTTTCCACCTATTGGTTTAGTTTTAGAAATAGTATCTCACTCTTGATTTGGTTCCATAAATAATGTCTACTTATTGGTCCAGTTTCATAAATAATGTCGCCTTATTTTAAGGAGGATTAGAATGACATACTCTAATAAAAAATTATATGATCAATAATGGTACAATTTGACAACATAAGCATCTAAACATCTTACTAGTATACATATATCCCGAATTTTACTAAATTCGTCCTTTTAAATATGACTAAAATAACAAAGACTTGTAACTCAGTTAGTTAAGAACATTCACATTTACTCGAGCTCGTCCCTCAATATATATAATAAAAGAAAGAAAAAATGATCCGGTAAAGTTATAATTCATACATGATTGTGTTTACTATTTATTATAATTATACAAGACATTTATGTATTTGTAATTGTAAGGGTGGTTTTTAGTTAAAATATTCATGGTCCAAACTCTTTTTATTAAGGCTCTTCTTCCTACGTTAATTCTCCTTCAAATAATCAAAAACATAAAATTTAGTATAAAATAATATTTTCTCTCTCTTCATCAACCCTTCTCACTCCATCTTCTTCTTCTTCTTCTTCTTGTTGATGGATGGAAAACAAAATAACAGAATTTCTTTTTTTTTTTTTGCTTTCAGCAATTAATTTTCTTCAACTGGGACCCAAATAAGACTTTGATTGAGAAGTGGAAATCCTCGTGTATGCAAGTCCAGCAGAGTATTGATAGCATGGACAAATATGATAACATTCAGCACTTATTATTTTTCACCCAGTTAAAAGCGTATTGGGATAATTAAGAATTGGGCTAACGGAGGAGCTTCCGTCAGGGGCATAGGCTGGGAAAAAAAAAATAGTTTTGCACGTGGCCTTGTTTCTTACATGTGAGGATTTAGTTTTTGTCCTTTTTCATTAAATTTCAGTCCCTTAACATTAAATAAAGTTAGTACATGATTTTTTATTAAAACGAACTTAGTCCAAATCATTTTCATTAAAACTCCCTATTTACTATGTGATGTCATGTTTGACTTGGGCTTAGTTTATGTTCATAATTTTTTTTAATAAGATGCATTATAGAACATCAATAGAAAACCAAACGTGAATATCAGAACTAAAGTCGCATCTTTATTAAAAAACACGCTTCCTAACTACCATTACGCGACATAACACAAAAAAGCCTCACAAACAAACATTAACACCACTAACTATGAAATATAAAGTCTTCCAAGAAAGAAGATATCAAGCCAGACCGTGTACACTAATGATGTGAACCTCAACAAAACATCTTCTGAAAAAAAAAAAAAAAAAACCTACTTGGGATAAACTTCGGACGAGAAAGAAAAAGAACATCGCACATGCCTGAAGTACAACATGAACCAACTGTAGTATTAGCGTGATTCACCTCATCACAGCAAAACCAATAACCCGAGAAATCTTCAATGTGGACTCCAAAATCATCATTTAAGGAACAACCAACATTATTCTCCTAAGACATCATCGATCCTTACTCCAATATTGTGTTTGAAAATGACATGCGGTGATGTCATGCCGATTAATTATGTCACGAGGGACATGAGATGGTTTCATTGGTTTTAGTTTATAAATAACATGAAATATAGACAAATTTTCACGAGATTTGTATTTATCAAATATAGCCAAATATTAATTCCTAATTTTAAAAATGTTAATTTTTATAAATTTTTTTAAATATATCCGAAATCTCACTTAAGTAGATATAAATACCCTTTAATATTCAACAATTTGTAGTTGACTGTAAAAGTTTTGTCATGCGTTTTCAGTATAATCAAACAAAACACATTCATCTCTATTCGATTATACTAAAAAAGCATGGAAAAGTTTTTACCATTCAAGTATATATTGAATAAGCATGGAAAAATTTTGCCATAGCTAAGTTGGGTAGATTGAAAATTGTAAAAAGGCCTTTAGGGAACAAAGTCGAATATATATATTTTTTTCCAATCTGGGGATTGTCCCTGTTGCTGAGAATCTGAATGGTGTAGTAGATCATTATTTTTTAGTAAAATATATGAAAACAAAGGAATTAAGTTTTGGTTGTAACTTGACTAGTAAATGGATTTTTTTAGTTTCTTCTTCCTCCGTTAAATAATTATTAAAGTCGATAATTTTTATGTTATATTATGTGTTCCTATTATTATACTATAAATTCTTTGATTATTGCATATGTAGATGCTACGTGGCCAATTGGTGATCAGACCAAGCAAATAGTAAATGATGATGTAAGTGAAAGAATTGTCCTACCACCAATTACATGAAGAAGATATGGTAGGTGCGAAGATGAAAGGATCCCATCATGTGGAGGAAAAAAATCAACTAGGGAATGTTCAAAATGTGGTTCAAATGACCATTGTAAACAAACTTGTAGGAATCCCGTTCCATGTAGTTCTTTTTAAATTGGGGTGTAATGAATAAATATTTCCTTTTGAGCATTTTATTGCTTTTGATTGTACGTAAAATCCTTTAAATTTCAAACAATTAAAAGTGTATTACTTTTATTTTTTTACTCTGATAGTTCACTCTTATAAGATGCTAAAGTGTTTTTTGGGAACCATGTGAGAAAGAAAGGTTTCCTTGATTATTTACTAAAATAAAAGGCTTAATTGGATTAATAGTTCCCGTTGTGGTAGGGTAGTTGGAAGATAGCCCATGTGCTAAAAAAACTAGGATTTAAGCCCATGTGGTAAAGTTTGTAAGGATTTATGCCGAAAATTGAAAATTTCGTCAACTTTTTGTTAATTATTAGCATGTGAGCTAGCCTCACACGTTAACAATTAATGGAGAGGTCCGTTTTAGCCTAATATGTGTATGGAGAGTTCTGTTTTAGCCTAATATGTGTGGTTCACGTGTTAATAATTAATAGAAAGTTGACGGAATTTTTAATTTAGTGCATAAATCCTAACAGACTTTACCACATGGGCTTAAATCCTAGTTTGTTTTACTACAGGGGCTATCTTCCAACTACCCTATCACCACAGGGACAATTAATCCAGTTAGGCCAAAATAAAATTGAGAAAAACGTTTGCTCTTTGTTTGGAAAAGAAAAGAGAAAAAAAAAAAAAAAAAAAAAAAGAGAAATTTTTAGTTTGAGATTATAGCACAAGAAGTCTTTAAGTCTAACAATTAGTTATTCATATAAATTGAGGGTACTTGTGTCTATTTAGGTGAGATTTTGAATATTTATGAAACTTTTTATAAAAATTGACATTTTTGAAATTAAGAGTTAATTTTTTACTATATTTGATAAATTCTCGTGCTTAAGTTAAAGATGAGGTGTGGGAGATTGAGATCGACTTGACCACCACAACCTCGTGAGGAGAGAATTAAAATGACAACATTGCCGAAGTTTGTGGTGCTCAAGTCGAACTACAACAACAAATACTTACGATTCAATACTATAGATGCAGATGAGAATCTGATGCGAGTCATGCCAACTGCAAGGTATATTAATTTTACAGGAGAGGAAGCAGGGAGCGAACACACAAAATTTGAAGTGGAGAAGGCAAAGAGTATTGGGAATGAGGGACTAGTACACATTAGATGCTGCTACAACAATAAATACTGGGTGATGCCTGCTTGTGGTTATACTCAGATTGTTGCTGGTGCTGATGAACCAGAGGAAGACAAATCCAAGTTCTCATGTACCTTGTTCGAGCCTGTCTACGCAGATGATGATGGCCTCCCAGTTGATGATTCCAGAAGTACGAATTCTATAGTACTCCGATTCCGCCATGCCCACAATGGAAAGTACGTGGCCTTGGTACAAAACGATCCGAATGAAAAATACTGGGGTTTCATGTACACGTATGGGGAATCTCCTAGCCAGAGGTTTATGGATGTGTTCATAGTCATTGACTGGGAATCGTTGGTGCTAGTCAAGATACTTCCCAAGCATGTGGCGTTTAAGGGTGGTAATGGTCACTACCTCGGTGCCCGCCTGATCGACCAACACCCACGTTTGCTGCAGTTCGAATCCACTGACATTGAAGATCCATTAGCAGGAAACGAGGTCTTCACCAATGCCGATGGCACCGTTCGCATAAAATCCGATTCCTCAGGAAAATTCTGGAGGCTCACCGAGGATGACTGGATATGCGCCGACTCAGATGACTCTACCAACGACGATTCCCACACATTGTTTTGGCCCATCAAAGTAGGCGACAGTGCCATTGCTCTCCACAACATGCAGAACAAGAAGTTTTGCAAGAGATTTACCACCAGCACAATTACAAGCGGTCTCAATGCAAACGTCTCCACTATCGACAAAGAGGCATACTTGGAGGTGGAAGAGGTTTTCCCCCTGAGGAGAGATATCAGTAATATTACTCTCCACCTCGACCGTGCAAGGATTTACAACCAAAACGTTGTCAATTTAGCCATGGGTGAACTCGTTAACCATTCTAATGAATCTTACCCTATGGAATTGAAGTTTTCCTATATAGAAACTAGGAACTGTACTTGGAATTACTCCGATCCAGTGTCTCGTCGATTTTGAAGTTGTGTGGCCTCAAGAGCAGCACCCACACTGAAGTTCCGGTAATTGCAGATGGTAAAAAGTTGACCATTGGATTTACTGGAGCAGTCCAATTTGGAGAAACTGAGACCGTCACAAGTAGTGTAAAGGATGCTTTGTATAAGTATGTTGTGCCAGCAATGACTATGGTAAAGGTGAGGTTTGTAGCAGCTGAGGCTTCATGCGATGTTCCCTTCTCTTACACCCAGCGCGACACTCGTACGAGTGGGGAAATAATTACCAGCAACATAGACGATGGAGTTTATAATGGTGTGAATACCTTCGATTTCAAGTTCGAGTCCACAGAAGAAAAGCTTTGATGATATTCCACTTACTGCAACAGAACTTTTTATTGTTCTTCGTCTTTTTTTTTTTTTTTTTTGTGATTTTTTTTTTGCATGTAGTTTGTTAATTTCCAATAAAATCAAGGAAATGACACAAATCAAGAAATAAGTCACGAAAAGAAGATTTATCCGAGCGATTTTGTATGTCACTTTAATTGCTTGGGTTTATTTTCAGTGCTGAAAATTTTGTGTCAATGTTGTCCTCATGAGTTTGGAATTAATATTGGTTCATAGCTTCCATTATCAGCGATGTGTGTGTGTGTGTGTGTGTGTGTGTGTGTTCGCACATTTTCACCATATATTGTAAGTAGAAGGATGACCAACTAGACTTTGTTTCGTTTGTAATTTCATGTCAGAGTACCAATTTTGTTTATATTCTTGATTTAATAGCTTCGTCCCTGCCAATTTTGCATAAATAACCAGAAGGAATGGACAAGGAGAGAACAGAGAATATAAATACAACAGATCTAAACCAGCCACCCCTCGCCCCTTAGAAAGTTCTATCCAAAATCCAAATGCGAAAATAAAAAGCCAAAGTATAAATTGTGCCAAAAGATTTGCTTCCTGAATACAATCGCGGGAAACAAATTGTAGACAGAACCATAATGATAAAGAAACTTGCTCGTCCCTTCAATACGCATTGTCCCTATGGGAAGTTTTTGTGTGAACAACATTTTGTGAGCAATTGTTAATGGACAAGGATTGTCTGCCCTCCCACTTCTGGTGCTCTCTCGTGCCCTTCTGTTTTGTGTGGTCACGGTTAAGCCACGTCAACATTTTATATTATTTTTTTATAGAGATAACAAGACAAAAATGAATAGTAATATAAAACGTTAACGTGGCTTAACCGTGACCACATAAACAAGAGGGTACAAGAGGGCACCGGAAGTGGAAGTACAGACAATCCTTGCCCTTTCCGTCCATTGTTAACATAGTGCATCCTTTAGTCCTTTTAATGAGTCATCAGTTTACCTATAAAAAAAGAATATAAATAATTTCGAACAACCCTAACCTAGATGGAATTGAGATAACATACTAACAAATTAATAATTTATCAACTTATCGATTAATTAATAACTTACTAATTTATTAAGGTATTTCTTTTTTTAAATATTGTAAATTGTATTTAGTTGCTTGGCTTGAGAGTTTGAGGTTTTGTTTATCTATTGTGCGTTCACGATGTTGAACCAAAATAGATAATTCCAGATTTGCAGAAAGATTAAATTACACAATGAAGCGGAATTCTAGATCTCTTCCACCAAGGTTATCGAATCAAGTGATTTGAACCTTTCAATTTCATCTAGCAGTAAAAAATTATCACAATTTTTAAGGAATCAAAACAAATGAGTCGTTGAATGAAATTTAGAAAACCCGGATCATTTGATCTAATGGTCTTGATGGAAGAAATTCGGAGGATCTCTTTCTAATGATTCAGACTTGGTAGCAAGGTCTAAAATATCGATGATATCGGAAATATCGGTAGTCCAAAAACATGGAAATTTCAATGGAAATATCAGGATATTATCGATATCGATAAAAATTAAATAAAAACCACGGAAATTGTAAGAAAAACTTGGAAATTTTTATTGAAACTTTGCAAGATGTTTATTTAGTCAATTATCTATTAGTTTATCACAAAAAATTGGAAGGAAATGCATTGCCTGATAGATTTAACTGATTTAAGTTGATTATATAGCGAACTGGCAAACATTGTGAGTGTAGAAAATATGTAGTAATTAATGAAAGAAGTTTAAACACACCATAATCATTTATATATAATGAATTAGTACAATATTTTATACTTCATACATTGCATGGTAAGATACATGAGTGACTTAGTACCACATAGAGTTCTTATGAGGTTCAAAATTTTCACTATCTTCATCATCTCTATGTGTAGAATAAGTGTAATGTGAAGAGTAGTCATCAAATGATAAATCCCCAAAACCAATACATAAATATTTTAGCATATTTTTGCAAAAACATAAGTGATATGGTGGTTAAGGTGTTGAAGGAGTAAAATGGGAGGGGTTCGAATCCTCTCTCTATGCGCAAGATGGAGATTTTTCAAGTATTTTTGGGTTTCATCTTGCGATAATATCGCGATATATTGCCCAAATATATGCATTAAAATGCTGAAAATATCGTCTCCGATATTATCAATATATTAATGATAATTAAATGAATGAGTGTGAAAATATCGTCATCTAAAAAAAATGATAATATCGATATTTTAGACCTGGGTAGCAACTAGCAAGTCTTTGGAGTTTGTACTTTAAAGAACAACACCTAGCTTTTGTACCAATTTTTTATTAAACTAAATGACTGAGTTACAGGTGGAGCACAAGATGTCTGCATACTTTGGTGATGGTATATTTGTTTATTAAAATCAAATCCTTCATAAGTGTGTCTTCCACCTTTCTCTCACTCAAAATGCTCTTTAATTATAAAGATTTTGAGTAAATTAATAGTAGAAAGTTGAAGGTCATCACAAAGTACTCCATTCTTAGAGCTGGATGGTGCATAAGGACGCCTGTGTTGTATAAACAATTTCTTATCAAGCCTTTAGTCCTCTAGCATTATCATGCATCGTGAAGAAAAGCCAATCGATGAAGTTTCTTGTGACTTTTTGGGTCCCAGCTGTTGGATGCAAATTGCAAAGGTATGTGGCGTATGATTTTGGGACATTAGGGGGCGTTTGTTTGCCCTCACTAGGTTGGACTGGATTGGACTGGACTAGTTATTAGTCCAATACTGTGTTTGTTCCATGCTGGGACTAACATTAATGAGACTAAAGGGGACTAGCATGGACAAAACCCTTCACTAAGAGGTCTTAGCGAGACCCCCCAATAACCATGGGACTAGCTAAGACTATCCTCTCTTTCTCATCCTTGTCATGCTCAACGACCACTCCCGACAAACTCCTCGTCATCTCCGGTCACCTAGATCAATCATTAACTTTTCGACTCTCTTTCAGATCCATTTCACAACCAACTTTCATATAAAATATACCAAATTGAAGCTGGGAGTGACAAGATTACGATTTTACCTGAATCGAGGGTAAAATGTGGTCAAATGTGGCCGGAAAATGGCATGGAAGTCTCGGCCTGTTTGGGCTTCTTCAAATCCATGACAGATTCGAGCATTCAAAGCTAAGATCTCGGTCTAGGGATGGTGATGAATTTTTTGGCGGTGCTAACTTCATCCAATTTAACAAGGGTTGGCCGGAAAACACATCGGGAAACCTGCAACTCGTCGGGAAAATTGGAGCCGTAAGGTTCCATTCGAACAACGCATAACTAGAGAGGAAGGGAGGACAGAGAAATAGAGACTGGAATCAATAAGGAGTTTGACCAGGAATGAGAAAGAGACATGAATTGAGAGGTCTAAGAGGAAAAAAGAGGGAGAGGGTGCGACGATGAGAGAAGAGGAAAAGAGTGGGACAGAAATGGTAGGAAAAGAAGAAGAAAAAGATAAGATCATAATAAAATATTAATAATTTATATATTAAATAATATAATATTAGAATTTGTTATTATTCAGCTTCTTAGTCCAATACTGCACCAAACGCTTCACTAAGTTAGTTCAGTTTAGTCTAGTCTAAGCCAGTCCAGCTTAGTCCTTGAAGCTAATCCAGTCCGAGATAGTCCGGCGCAACAAACGCCCCCTTAGGGTTTTGATTTGTTTCCTCGATCTATGGGATTATTTTATGAAAGACCAGTTTCGAATTGCTGTTTTTTTTTTTTTTTAAATGCTTCTATTGTGCTTTAAGAATAATCAGTTGTAAAATAAAGCTGATAAGTGTTTGGCTAACTGAATTTTAAAAGTGTTGTGAGTATAGAAAACATTGTAAAATCATTTAGTAAAATTTAATGTAAAAGCGATATAATTGTATACAATAACAAATAGACATAATAGTAGGAGTGGGGGTGATGACAGCAACAGTGGTAATGATGATGGTGGTTGCGGTGCAAGTGTGGTGGTGATGCTAATAGTGGGATGTGTTGGTTGAGATGGAGAGGTAACAATGGTGGTAGGACGGTGGTAGCACTGGTAGTGGCTGTTGTGGTGGCCTTGGTAGTAGTGATGATGACAACAATGATGGTGGTAGTGGTCGTGGTAGTGATGGTGGTGACAATGATAGTGGTAGTGGCAGTTGTGGTTGTGGTGGCAGTGATGGCGGTTACGGTAATGATGCATGGTGGTGGTGGTGGTGGTAACAATGGTAGCAGTGGTGGTAGTGGTGATGGCAGCAATGGTGGTGGTGGAGGTAATGATGGTGATGACAATGGTGGTAGTGGTGGAGGTTGTGGTTATGGCGGTGATGGTATATTGTTAGTATTTGTAGTGGTAGGTGGTGACGTTTACTTTTTTCTCTAAAAGATAAAATATGTGTGGAAAGCTAAATAATGTCACTTAAAAAAATTAATGAAGGTATACAACAATTGAAAATATTTATTAAAGACCCAACTCTGTTTTTTATTAAAGCAACTTTTAAAAGCCACCTACATGCTGTTTTTAAAAGTTGTTGTCTGGAGCCCGTTACTTTTAAGATAAGCAGAATATTTTACTTTTATCAAACACATTTTTACTGCTTAACTTTAAAGCGAAGTAGTTTTTAGTGAAAAAAAGTAATATCAAACGGAGCCTAAGTTAAGGAAATAACTATAGTGCCGTGAAGATCAGTGGGCTAAAGAAGTGTAATACCCCATATTTAAAAAAAATGATTATATATATGTGGTTAATTATGATTTTTTTTTTCGTAATGATTTTATTAGATTTATTTTATGCAAGAACCTACTTTTAATGTAAAATAGTTTCAATGTAAAATCCTTTTTGCTACAAGATTATTTCAAAAACTAACTAGCAGTATTTCATGTTCATATGTAATTAGAAATATTTTTAGCTTGAATTGGAGAAGGGAATTATGATGAGTTTGGCTTGATATTTTTACCAAATAAGAGTGAGTTGGCAAG